GTAACTTAATTTAAATTCTTTAACAGCAACCCAGACCATTGATACGGGGAAGGGGGTTGCATCGTTATCGAGCTGGAGGATTGAGGGCTCTGGTCCTGGCACCTTGCAAAAAGGCCTTGGATTTTATTGAAAACGTGTCAAGCTGAGTTTCTAGGGGATTTGGGAAGGATTTGGGACTTAGTGTCATCGAAGCAGTCTGCTGGTAACTACGTGCAAAACAAGAGCAATTCTCCATCTGCTTTATCAGAGAGGTTTTAGTAGTAATTCAGACTTGCAATGATCCCTAAGTACACCCACCCCATAAACAACTATCGAGCAAATCAAGGTCTCTTGTTCGCGACAGGTGGCCTTCGAGGGCTTGGGCACACACGGAGGAGCCAAAGACAAATCAAGAACAGCACTAGAAGCCCCACCAAAGGCCCTCACCCTGATTCAGGAAGGTGCCATGATTGTAGAAGCACTCCTCCTCCACCTCCTCCTCCTTGTATAGCTGCCCTCCCACCGTTGCTGCCACTGCTGCTACTGCTACTTCTGCCACCGCTGCAACTACTGCTACTCTAGACTTTCACATAATCCTGAACAGCAAGGTCTATATTCCCATTCATTCCAACAGCTTACAGGCTTCAAGCCAGCCTCAGTCTTGGCCGCCTTCGTTTTGGCCTGCAAATGATGCGAGCGCAATGGCGCAGCCACGGCACATAGCTAAGAATTGTCCGCCATGCCACGGTTTCAGGGTTGAGGCCTTGGCAAGGCCAAAATGGTAAACTTGGCAGTTTCCCAAAATTAGGGGTGCCTTTTTAGGGGTCCCTATAATAAGGATTTTTGTATATTGGGGTCTATACTGGGGTGCCCCTATTTGGGGAAAGTACCACTTGAACAAAGGCCCCGAAACCCGCAATGCACGCAAGAGGGCAACCTCACTAATGTATCTCAGTTTTATCACTGAAGATGGCATGAGCCCAAGTATCATCACTGCCACAGAGCCCACCTGTCTCAGAAACCGGGAATTTCCGCAACCCAAAGCATTTCAAACTCCCTGGAATCCCTATGAGAAAGCACGGATGGTCCCTAGAAATTCCATACTCTTCTATCCACCCCCACTCAACCGTGCACTGTACCTCGGCACTCTAATCTATTACTATTACTATTACTATTCCTGTTGTTATGATTATATATGATTATAACTATTACTGAGCTGCCTTGCTGCTTGTAGCATTCTTCTCCTCGTCGGGAGTGTCCTGTGCCCCAAGCCACAAGACTGCCAGAACGATTGGATGAGATTGGGTTCCCTCCATGGTGCTAAGTCCCCTACCGGAGGTCCACATGCGGCTCCCGAAGCCCAGAAATTCATTGTCACCCACCAGGCATACTGAATCCTTCCAGCTACAATGTAGAGCTTACGCGGCAGGCGCTGACGTTGTTCTGTGTGCGTTGCTCTGTCAGGCCATGATACGTATCAATCAGAAAACCCCCGGAAAAGCAAGTCCAGCTGAAAGGTAGCTCAAGTAAGCATAGCCTCACAAAGAGCACACATAGCTTCAAAATTTGACTTTGCGAAGTGCTTAAATTTGGAGCTAGTACTTGCTTGCCACCTTATGGTAGAAAGATCTGCGCTCGCTGAAGATTCCGATCAAGGACAAAACAACATCTACCCAAACCCTCAACCATAGTCATCCATAGGCTACAGGCTTGACTATGTAGTAGCTTCCATTTCATCGTCCATGTTCTTCTCCATTTGCTTTTCCGTTATCGGGGGTAATATCCCCAACTTTAAGCTGTGTCGCAGGCCTTTGGTCCCATCTTGGGCGATGCCGGTGCAGAATCACCTTGGCATAGCAGGTTGCTCTGGAGCTTCGGGTCATCTAAGGAATCTAGGCTTTGGGTTTTATGGTTTATCGTCTCCCTTGAGAAGTTACAATATGGGGCATATGGGGATCTTATTATGGTTTGGGAATTTCTTATTCTGCGCTATCTTTTTTTTTTGGGGGGGGACTGCGCCAGAAACTGGGGAATTTGACGGGTGCCGCGCCAGGAACGGTTGCAAATGCCTGCAGCCCAAGCTCCGCGCCTGTAAGTGGCTTGGTCGTCCGGATACCTGCTTCACGGGTTCAGGATTTTAGAGTTTAGGGCCTTCACTTGGCAGGTTCTCGAGGACATGGTCCTGCCCAAGGCAGTTTTGAGGTGGGGAGTTACCACTTGGGTGCTCTTACATAAGGCTCATATAAGGCTCATACAGGAACACTAGGACCATATTAAGGCTACGTAAAGCTTACATGAGGAAAAAGATCCACCTGAAACTTCCTACGATATTGCTGAGCGCTTTCAACCTAAATCTGAAGACCAAGAAGAAAGAGGTTGTAATGCGACTAGCGTCGTATTCCCCAATTCTGTAGGTGCATCAGGATTGCAAAGGAGGTGCCCTGGAACTCCTTATAAGACAGGCTGATCATATCTAAATCTAAGGATTCGTGATAGAAGCTAGAAGTGTGCGAAGGCTTTTGTCCACAGGCATGCCTTTTAAACTTCCTGCTAATTCAAGCTGCTGCACAACTAGGGCCATTACTACCCCAATAACGGAGAATTAAATGGACAAGGAGCCGTACAACGCGCCTCGTGCCAGAGCACTGGTAAAGACTTCGATGTTCCACTCATGCCTTGCGGTGGCCTGAACGATCGGTTCTAGGGGTTAAGGCTTGCCGGTTTAAGTCCCTGAGTTTAGGGCTTATGGGGGAGTCAGGCTTGTATAGGGTCTAGAGGTTGAAGAATGGAGTACTTCTACCTGAAAAAAGTGCTGTCCAAAAAACAGGCGGCCTACATCAACATCACGGACCATACAGTACACGCCTAGACACATATTGACAAGTATATGGAAGCCGGGATTATATGCAAAACTCCACAACACATATTCAAGAGCGCTGCTGTCGAACGTTTGAACGTTGACTGGCTTCCTCGAGCTCCTCCCTTTGACGGCAACAGCAACACAAGGGACTTTCAGAAAAATCCCTAGATAAGTCCAAATAAGGACACCCATCAACTCGTTTATAATCCTCATGTACTTTATGTACCCTACGGGCACCTTCTTGAGAAAGCCCCACAATCCCTCCATCTTTTTGGCCTGGCAGTAGATGTTCCAGGCATTCTGTAGCAGCTGCTTCCAGTCCCCCTTTGCCGCCTGGCGCATGATTTTTCATGCGAGGCCTGGTGACCTCTTTAGAGGCTTAAATATTTACCAATATCGTGTTGAGTGCATACAAGGAATATATGACCATGATGCTGCAAAATGTCTAGGTTTTCATGTAAGTATGACGAGTAACCCCTGGAACTCACCTACCAAAAGCCATTGGGTACCAAACACAAAAGTGACCTAGAACTGGAAAGAGCTTGGCTCAGAACGAATGGCACATTATTATCACCTTATCGTATAGGCGACGGGTTTAGGGCTGAGGGCTAAGGGTCCCTAAAGATCAAGGCCCACAGCACGCCAGGTTTAGGGTTTAGGGCTACCATTTCTACCAGGCTCCCCTCCCCTAAAAACTCTCTCATTGCAAAAACATTCTACGCTCCTAAAGCGTTACCCTCCAGAATTGTCTGCCCCATCCTGGGCATGCCTTGGCCTTTGCCTGCGGTATGGTGGGAGCCTGAGAAGCTTCTTTTGACGCTGGTGGGGAGGGTTCAGGGTTCATAAGGTTTCTGGTTTAGGGTTTATGGTTGAAGGTCAGGGAGTCAGATTTACAGGTTTAAGGAAGGAAGGAAGGAAGGAAATTTCGGGGCTACTTTCAGGGATCATCCTGGAACGAGTTATTGGGGAACAGATGGAATGGAATCCTAGGCCTACTATCCAGGATTATTTTGGGAATACTTTTGCAATCCATCACTCTCCCATCTCCTACCCTCAAACCCTAAACCCTAAACACCAGTCAGTAAGTCTTGAGGAGTTGGATCTGCAGCTGCAGGAGAAGCCAATCACTCCTAGGATGACACGCTTGGGAAAGCTGTTCACTTTTTTTGGTTTAGGGTTGCAGATCACTGTCAGTCTAGAAAAAGGTTTGCTCTGAGCTTCCGGCTGAAGTGTCGCCAGCCTTCTGAATGATGTACTTGCCTTCATCCATCTCGACTACCTCACGGACTGGAGGCCCTAAATCCAAAGAAAGCCCCAAGCATTCGTGACGAAAGCTACAACTCTAAACCCCAAACCCCAAAGTTCCTTGATCAGACGCGGAGAACCCAAGAGCCTTGAGACCGTGGGGATCCTAAGCTTCCAACTCTTTGAACCCTACATAGCCACACGCCATGTTTTAATCTCTCTTGCCTCAACAGCGTATCGTGCTCACTGATAACTAGGCAGACCCTAGAGGTCTCACCCAGATGCAATAGTTGCACCCCGCAAATTGAAAAGATTGGATTCTTCATGGTGACCCTAGCAACCCTGCATGTTTCCACGGTGCATGAGGACACCCGTTTCTTTGAAAGATACCAATCCCTCAAACCCGAAATCCCGAACCCTGAACCCCAAACCCTAAATCTCAAACCCTAAACCCTAAACCCTGAACCCTAGTTTATTTTGCATCTGATTTGCCTGTTCATTTTGATCGTCCATACCCTAAACCCGAAACCCATGTCACCTGGAGCTGGGGGCTCTTCTTGACAAACTTCTTGTACGAGCCCAACTGATCCTTGTACCTGGCTTTGGGTTTAGGGTTTAGGGGGGGCTAATGATTATTGGTTGATAGAAGTTGGCTTTCCGGATTTACAGGTTGGGTAGGAACATACGTATGCCCTATACCCCTTCATATCACGATATACGCTTGTACATAGGTCGAGGGTTAGGGTTTCTACATGAATTCTCAGGGGGCTCAGCGATGTTAGCAAGGATGGACCCCAATGTAAACCCGTTTAAGGGGGAAGGGTAGTTTTTAGGGTGCTCAGACCTGGTAGGCCTAGAAATATGCAGTGTCAGCTTAGGGATCCAAACCTGGGTGGGGGGTGTGCAGCTCGGACCGAAGAACGCGGTGTTAGGGTTAGGGATTAGGGCGTCTTGCTGCGTGGCGGCTGGAGGTAACATGTAGAAATGGCGCAACGACACGCCCAGGGGTGGGGGGGGGGCATATCATGCGACAGCGCATCTCTCATGCCCAACTAACCAAGATTTGGCGTGTTGGTTTATTCTTCCCACCACCTGCTTACACAGACATCCACCCATCTTTGTTTCTTTTTCGGGCTTCTCCCCTACGCGGCGCTCCTGCCCCAACACCTGGAGGTGCAAGTCACACTCTACATCTCTCTTTAGGCTTGCATAGTGGCTCCAGGCGATGGTGTGAATAGCTGCCGGATATAGTTCTGGGTCCAGGCACCCTGGAAAAGATTTAAGGATCAGGGTTTAGGGTTCAGGGTTTAAGTGTTAGGGTTTAGGGATTAGGGTTTAGGTGGTAGGATTTAGGGATTAGGGTTTTAGGGTTCAGGGCTTAGGTGTTCGGGTTTAGGGATTAGGGTTCGGAGTTTAGGTGTTAGGATTTAGGGATTTTGATTTAGTCGGATCGCTGATCGTTGCAGCCCAAACAATCTGCTCACCTCGCCCAACCTGAACGGCACAGTATTCAACCTTTGCATCCCAATGATACACTTCTCCTGCAAGAGGGCCAAGACGAAACGGAGCAAATTTTGGTATGAAAAGGAGCTTCCCTCTGTTCCGAAGATACATCTCCCAAAGGCTGCTCACCTGAGCCCCATGTCCAAAATCCATGGCCCCTAAACCAGGTGCGGAAAGCCCATCAAGTTACCGTTTGCCAGAAGGAACTGGGGGAATGTAATCGCGATACAATCGCTTTAGATTCCCTTATTTGTCCCCACTGACCCCCTGTAAGTAAAACTTCTGAGGCAAGGACGTTGTGTGCCAGTCTGGCAGGATGAACGTCCCATGCCTTGGTTCAGGGTTTAGGCTTTTAAGGTTTCGGGTTTGAGGGTTTAAGGCTTAGGGTTTCGGGTGGACAGTGTTTGGGGTAGAAATCAGGAGGACCAACCACCCTGCACTAGCGGTATAATAGGAATATACCAGGACCCTATCTTGGTCACCATTATCCCTGATGGTCACTATTAAAGGGCGGGGTTCCGCCTAAAAAAGAAATCTCAAGCTCCGAGTGCAAGCAGATGGGGTTTGATTCAAAATGTCCTTTGCGGAAATTATTTAGGACTCCGGTCGGTCTACAAGGGAAAAATTAAGGAAAAGTATGCTGCACATGGGCCCTTTTGGGAACAGGAATCTTGATCAACTACCAAACACAGACTCAAAACAAACATCATCCTTGTGGGTCATACAACCCTAAATAAATTCCCCAGTAACGCCTTAATTGTATGGGTGCCATTTTCCCCAATGGTCAGCTTTCCATAAGAAGACCCGAGAAAATAGAGTTTACGACAGTTGTACCTAGCCTAGCTAAACCCTAAACCCTAAACCGCCCAACAGCTGAGTTGCGGTTAAGGCAAGGCACTTAATTCAAGTTACCATAATGGTGTGTATATATATATATATGATGATTAATATGGTTTCCCCAATTAGGAACTTAAATTAAATTCCTTAACTGCAACCCAGTAAACCGCCCAACAAGGCTGAGACAGCCCAGAAGTGAGGGCTTGGATGACAAATGCGAAAACACCCGCTGCACCCGCTTCGAAAGATGGCCAAGCCCCGCTTCAAATGTACTATAGCCTAAACTCCTTAAAGGGGGGGTTAGGGTTTAGGGTTCATGTTTCTTCCCATTACATAGGGGTTTGGCGGGGTCATTTTGATTTTGAAGTTTTAAATCAAAGGAGCTTCGGAACCCTAAGTAATGTACGTTTATATGGGCTTGAGGCTTTAGGCATCAGGGTCTAAACTCCTTAAAGGGGATTGTATAGGGGAGCATTAATCCCTTCCTCATATTAATAAAACCCACCCTAATAATAAATCACAAATCCGGGACCCTAAAAATTCC